AAAAGGTACTCTTGACAAATGGTCGAATGGTTTCGACAAAATTTTAATTTCAGTGATTAAGAGCATAATCAATAATAAAACGATTAACAGATATTTCATAAAAATTGTTCAAAATGTTCACCATTTTCACGTATACAAAGATTTATACAACGCAAAAAGTTGAGATGTACTTTTTGCATAGGTTATTTCTATTGAAAATAAGTAGCACTGGTTTTTTTTTTCTGAAGACTATTATTATCTGCTCGAAAACAGTGATATTCACATTCTTGGTTTCCATAGTTTCATCTGTGTTGATTTGTCGAGTTTTATTGACGTTGATTGTTGATATCGGACTTTTCTGATTTATCATGGCCGTACAATACACCAATGAAGAATACACCGATATGTTATTGGTATTCGGATATTGTCAAGGAAATGGTCGAGAGAGTGTGAGGGTGTATTCGGCAAGGTTTCCAAATCGTCGCGTACCAAGCCACCCAACCTTTGCTGCAGTTGAGAGACGTCTTCGGGAGACCGGTCATTTTGCTTCTAGAACTGGTGATTATGGAAGACAGCGTTATGTAAGGATTCCCGAAGTCGAAGTAGAAATTTTAGACCGTATTGAAGAAAATCCAGAATTGAGTACTAGACGGATAAGTAATGAACTAGAAGTTTCTAGGAATGCCGTTCATGAAGTACTAAGAGAACAATTATTATACCCATACCACAAGACACCAGTTCAAGATTTATTAATCCATGATTCACAAAGTCGTCTGATGTTTTGTAGGTTCATTAATTTGCAAAGAGAAATGAATCTGAACTTTGGAAAGAATATTTTGTTCACTGATGAAGCCTGTTTCACGAGAAGAGGAATAACTAATTTTCATAATGAACACGTTTATGCAATTGAAAATCCTCATTCCATTAAAATAAACCATTTTCAACACGAATTCAAAATCAACGTTTGGGCTGGAATAATAGGAAATTTTATAATTGGTCCTGTCATACTTCCACAAAGATTAACAGGAGACATGTATTTACAACATCTACGAAATACGTTGCCAAATTTGTTGGAAGATTTACCACTCCAACATCGGGTAGATATGTGGTTTATGCACGATGGAGCTCCACCACATTTTTCGGTGGATGTTAGGAATTTTTTAAACCAACAGTACCCAGACAGATGGATAGGTAGAGGTAATGATGCACCCGTGAATTGGCCACCACGTTCTCCAGACTTAACACCGATGGATTATTTTGTATGGGGTTATCTCAAGTCTACGGTTTACAAGCCCCTGTGAATACTGTAGAACAATTATGGCAACGTATCCAACAGGCGACGAATAATCTTACAGGCGATGAAGAAGTTATGCAAAGAGTACATTTCAACTTTTTGCGTCGTATAAATCTTTGTATACGTGAAAATGGTGAACATTTTGAACAATTTTTATGAAATATCTGTTAATCGTTTTATTATTAATTATGCTCTAAATCACTAAAATTAAAATTTTGTCGAAACCATGAGAGGAATCGACTTTTGTCAAGAGTACCTTTTTTGTAGTGAATGAGTTGAACAATCTAGATTTCATATTGAAACTAACTTTTTCCATTGGCGTAGGAGTTTTAGATGTTTATTTACTGAAAAAAGCAAGTTCTACGCCCATGGAATGATATTCATTATGATTAGGATTTCAACTTTTTGCGTCGTATAAATCTTTGTTCACGCGAAAATAGTGAACATTTTGGAAAACTTTCATGCAATATGTATCAATCGTTTTATTATTTAAATATGCGCGAAATCACTAAAACTTAAATATTGTCGAAACCATCAGAGTAATCGAATTTTATCAAGAGTACCTTTTTTGTAGTGAATGATTTGGGCTATCTAGATGTCATACTGAAACTGATTTTTTTTCATTGGCGTAGAAGTTTTAGATGTTTATTTCCTGAAAAAAATCAAGTTCTACGCCCATGGAATGATATTCATTATGATTATGATATGAGTTTCATTGCCCGATGAGTCTATGCCAACGTACCAAATTTGAAAAAAATCTCATGAGCCGTTCAAAAGTTATGAAGCAAAATCGATTTGAAAATTTCAACTTCAGAGCCGTCTAGCGCCCAAACTAAGCAACTTTTTACTGAGGTAAGTTTGCTTGTATCGAATTGTTTTGGTCTGAAGAATATGTGGTAGCTTTTTGTAAAGACCTTTTAAGGACACCCTGTATATTATAATTGTCTTAGAGAAACGTTAACAACGTTAAATTGGCAGCACTGCTTCGAGCGCTTTCGCTAGCATTGCCTTTGCCTGACGTTGCTACAAGATCAGACGATTGCTACCGGAGGCGGACGAAGAATTCGCCTGAATGCGGAAGTTTCATTCAGATGAATTTACATAAAATGAGTTCGGAACTTCTCAGTGTCATGTCCACGCTGTAGAGAATGGCGATCGATAAAGTCCAAGTCGTTTTTATTTTCAAAATAAAGCAATTTCCAATTTTCCGGGCGGCAAACCCCAACTCTAGCTCAGTTATTTCTGAACCGATCCCAAAATTTGAACTATTTTAAGAATCATTGGCAATGATATTGATACTTTTTTTTTCACACATCAGAAAATACATTGTGCTCGGAACTAACGATCTACAGGGTAGGTACTATTTGATTTTTTTAACCTTACAGTAGTCGCGCCTCATGAAGGACATTGTTTGTTGCTGCGGATTTTCATTCCGCAATGGATAATTTGGGTGGTTTGAACATGAATTGAAATTCACCAATGATTCCATCAGTATGACTTTGGACATGTATATTTCCACGGAGTTAAATGTCAAAATTGCAATAAGAATATATTCATCCAATAACAATGCCCAAATCTTAACATTAGACAACTATCGAACATTTAATAACTAGAATTCGAACAAAATGAACACTTCAATTTTGAGAACAAAATGAAAATGTTCCAATCCGCCAATGTTTAATCGCCAATCTCTGTGAATATATGATGCGTGTTCTCATAAGCACATGAATTTTTCACATGTACTACAAGAAAATCAAGGAGGTTCTATTATTTCTTCATTACAGTAGCATCCATTATGTGTGTTAACTAAATGACAATTAATGAAATATCATTCATCAAATGAGATATTATGTTGCCTAAAAAGCCCAAAATAGCTGCAAAGTGTGACTACACTACGCTATAAAATTCAAAACCAAAGCCTTCATTTCAGGAAGGAATTGAGTGCGGCGGAATGAGGAAATGAATATTTGAGAAAACAAATTTTAAATTCGTGCGGAGTGATACTCCGCGTGCGACTACTGGAAGGTTAAATGGAATGCCCTGTATTTCATGGCATTTTTAGATTCTCCCTGGAGACTTCATCAATGTATCACACTTAGGGTCTAGCGGGATTGATTACAGAGATATAGGGTGTTCAGAATCGAGAGAATTTTTTTTCACCTGTATCCTCTTGATTGATGCTCTTTCTCATTTTCGGAATTTTCAAATTCAGAGCTTTGATAATCGTGTTATGAATACTCATTCATATAAAATACTCATAACTCATAACATTGAAAAAAGTTCAGTTGGGCAGACTAGATGTTAGACAAGGAAAGATTTATCAGACCTCTCTGTATTTCAATGCTGTTATGTTGGTAGCAATGAAGAGAAATATGGAAGAGGAGAGAACTTTCCTCTTTCTCATACAAAGAAAGTAGAAAAGAGCTCAATTAAAAAATATATTGTATGTAACTAGTTAGGATAATATCTTTTCAAATATCTAACAGAAAACATCTACTTTTCTGGCGTTTTCTGGTTTCTTTTAGATATTTGAACAATAGTTATTGTACATTTTCTTTTTTTTTATTAGGTGTGTGCCAATATTTGACATATATAATTCAATATTGTGTGTTATTAGACAGGAAAGAAGTTGATTTCTGTTAGATATTTTAACAATAATTTGTTCATTTCTCAGAAAACCTATTCCCAATCAAGGGGTTATTTGGATGATGGGAAACGTGATTATATATTGTCATAAAGATCTCATACTATGAAAGATTAACAATTAATTGCAGAATATTCCATGATCAGATATAATATAAACAATTCACTGTGGATATTATAATATCAACAAATCAAATTGGAATAAATTACATTTCTAAAATATGTAGCGGAGTTCCTGCATCTACTAGAAAATAGCAGCAACTTTCAAGTTTATAAATGGAACACCCTGTATGTATGTACCTGTCACCTTTTAGAAAATAATAATTGATTATATTTTTTTCACCAAACATGTACCTACTTCAATAAAAGCTGATAATCCTCAACTCTCTAGCCACCTGGATCACTTCACAACTAATTATAGTGATATTCTTTCAAACTGAATTAACTGAAATCTTTTACTTGAACTGAACTGAATCAGTTAATATGCGTTCTTTCAAATGACGTTCATTGCATGTCAACTGATTCAGTTCAGTTCAAGTGAAATGTGTCAGTACGTTCAGAACGAAAGAATATCTTTATTATGAAGAATATCTTGGGAATAATAAACTATAGAGCTTTCAGCATTTGTTAGGATGCAACAGTGTTGTGATTGTTGTGAAGAATGTAAAAAAACCAACAATACTTATTGAAAGAAACCCTTTTTAGTGTCAGGTTAGGTTAGGTAGGTAGGTATATGGGTGTCAGTAATGGGTATCTGAACCAAAATTAGGATTTTGCTATTTCAGGGCTGTCAGAAGAAGAAACTGGTATTTTTAAAACCCATTCAAAGAGATATTTATTTATATTCTTCATTCTTGGAAATAACTTTATAGAGAATATTATTGATATTTTTAAATATCAGGGGACAATTATGGGCCACTATGTCCATAGCCAAATTCATCAAGGTACTTTACTTGGTACTTCAGTAGACAGAACTCACCTATGTACAAAGTTGCTGAATTTTTTCAATATAAATAAATATTTCAACACAGAGGGATTTTAAAAACAGTAGTACCTATTCAGCATAAATATGTCAAAAACTCACCCCAACAAGATATTGTTTATTTTGAAGATGATCATTTAGAGTTGTCAAAGCATTGCAAACAGAATTCCTAATTTTTATGCTTTTTGATGAAGCTCCAAATAGGAATGCCAAATTAGGTGATAATTCGGTTGCTTCCCATTCTAACCAGTTGTGAATCTCTGTAACATTCTCTACAGGAGGTAAAATGAAACATAATGCTGCATTAGAACTAAAAAATCGGTAAAACCTTTCATCATCAACTTCCAGGTATGGTAAGAGATTTGGTTGCCTTAGTGACTTTTCTGGAAAAAATTAAATTGAATAGTGAATCATTTATGAGTGACAAACGAAACCATTATTAAAATTATTCCATATGAAAACTCACCATGTGGACTCACAATTTTGACTGGAACAGAAATATTGGCAAAGTTTTTAGCAACCAACAACTTTAAAGTTGCTGGATTATTTTCATTAGAATATAATATCATTACCATTTCGTCTATTAGCAAGATATTTGGCAGAAATCCCCCTCAGATTTATTAACAAGGATATAAATATTATCCAATCAACAAATTCAAAATTCTCGAAAATGATTATATTGATCCAAAGAGCCAGTGTTGCCGGTGTTGAAGAAACAGAAAGCGCAATGCTGCCAACGTAAATACTCATCTGATATTTGACCACCTACGTGAAGTGGGTTGCCAAAGCTAGCTGCCAGAATTTCCGAACTTTCCCGATTGACCAGTGGCACACGTTTCCCCCCTTTTCGGGTAGGAAATATCAACATTCCTCAATTGCTTCTGTTTGCGATGATGCGATGTAAGTGGTTAAGCTGGGCGATGAATATCTAACCCATTATTGTCATAATTGGTATTAATTGCCCTAGAGCAGCCTACTTAAAAAAAAACAATGAAAGCATATTGCACAGTTGCTTTTACGTCTCTTTAATCATTCTCTATAGAATAATCATTCCTTACCAAATCATAGGTATGAAGGACAGCTCAGCTGCTTTCGGGTCATGGGGAAAGATAATCATGTTTAGAATCATGCTATCAGAAAATAATTCCTTCGGAAATCGTATGGTAGACTCCACACGAAAAAAACAGATTTTTCGAAAATATATTTTTTTTCTCGATACTTTTGCAAAAAACTGCTCAGCTGCTTTTGGGTCAGGAAGATAGGTAATCATGTGGAGAATCATGCTATCAGAAAATAATTCCTTGCGGAATCGTATGGTAGACCCCACACGAAAAAAACAGATTTTTTGAAAATATTCTTTTTCGATACTTTTGCAAAAACTGTTCAGCTGCTTTCGAGTCAGGGAGGTAGGTAATCATGTGTAAAGTCACGCTATCAGAAAATGATTCGTTTTCTTGAACAAATCTACAATAATTCATCCGAAATCACGATACTATTATTGATAATGGCAACTTCGTTTTCGATCGATCATAATTACGATACTCACTCCACTACTTCCACTAGCGTCTAGCCACCGCGCGCATCTACACAAGTGTCTAGCTAGACCAGCGAATCTTTCAGACATCGAGGTCAAGTGACGTCATACCCATTTCTCCCGAGAAACTATGACCAGAAAAAGCCGACCAGTAGTGGTAGAAGAAACAGTTCTCCGTGTAAATCATGTGATTTTCAACAAAAGGCACATATTTGCACTTTGTCTACAAAACTTCGGCGATGAAATCTTCCCCACATGAAGTAAAATGGGGTCCAGAGGAACTCCTGTAGAACAATGGATTTGTATTTGCTCATGCCAAGCAGGACAATCTGGGTATTGCAAACATGTTGTAGCTGTTCTTTTATATGTCAATTGATTTGCTCGTCATAATTTGAATTGTTTGAACTATCTCCAATTCTTCAATCGTTCACTGTTCACTAATATAATAAAAATGTAATAATGTAAAAAAATGAACCAACTCCACCATCAACACTAATCAACACTACCAACAGTGCCAACACTTTATGTCATTGACAAGTTTGAGCAAGCTGAATGCAATGTAGTCTATGCACTTTATCCATAGACAAGTTTGTTGGTTTTCCCCCAGTTTTAGATTGTATTATGTAACCTAGATGTCGCCCACTTCGTGAATCTCGAATCTCGCGAATAGGCGATGCGCCATATATAAAGTAGTAGATATATGCAGAAAACTAGAAGACTGTCACTTGTCAGACTTGTCACTTGCACTTGTCATTCAATGTCCAGCATAACCTGAAATCAGTGGTTTGAATTTTAAATCAAATATTTGCATTTTCAACTGCTGAAAATACTCAAATAGGATCACCAAAACTCAAATCCAGAACCGATGACCGAGGTGAGTTATGAAAGTGTATCATTCCTTCTTGAAATTATTATAGTTAATTATTATCATATTTCGTAGATCAAGCAAGAAGTTTGGTGCAAATTTGCAAAGGTCTATGATCCAATAAAGATCGGATCTATTGACGGCACAGACTTGGAACCCCATGATAGGGGAATCGAAAGAGCGATAAATTCCAAATATGTACCAAATCGTCACATCAAGGGTAAACCAGAGTGTACAGTTTTTGTCAGTAGATTGAGCTATAAGACCACCAAAGATACCATCAAAGAAGTTTTTTCAAAATATGGAAAGCTTAGGAGATTTAGGCTGGTCAGAGATATTGTAACAGGGATGCCAAAAGGGTATGCTTTCATTGAGTATGAATCAGAACGATCAGCTGAGGAGGCTTATAGAAAAGCCAATAAGATTAATATAGATGGTAGTACAATTTTTGTAGATTTTGAGTGTGAACGATTACTTAAGGAATGGAAACCAAGGAGACTAGGAGGCGGTTTTGGGGGAAGGAAAGAATCTGGACAGCTGAGATTTGGTGGTAGGGATAGGCCCTTCAAAAAACCAATTAGTCTTGAGTTAAAAGAGGAAGAGGAGCAGAGGGAAAGACTAAGAAGGAAAACTAAGAGAGAAGATAAAGACTTCAGAGATCACAGATATGGAAAAAAGAGGCAATTATCACCTGGTTGGAGAAACTAATTCAACTATTGTTTTCATTCATTGCATATGTCAGGGGTGAAAAAGAGGTTGTTCTTGTATTTGGAATGTAAAATCAATTAAAATTTGTATAGAACATCCAATAATTGCTCCCTTTATTTAGAAATAAATTATTATATAATAATTATGATCTGTTATGATTAATGGTAATTCATTCAAAGTTGAAATAATTCTGGTGGATATTTTTGAGAGTATAACCTTTCCTTATCCCCTATGATATGGCTCATAAATTTTCAATGTATTCCTTCTCTAGATTGCTATAAAAACCCTTTGTCATTCTAGATGACAACCTAGTTAGGTTGTTGGTAGGCAAGATCATTATCTCCTAGCACTAGGTCACCTACTAGGTTTTCATTTAGGATTGACAATGGAAAACCAAAAGAGTCACATGGAATTTTCGTCATCTAATTATGAAGGCTTTTGGAATTATTCAGGGAACCCATTATCTTCAGGACCACCTTTTTAGAGAGCCCTATTTCCTGTATATATATATATATATAAAACCAGTGTATATTGGGGGTAGCAGCAGTGTAAAAGGAATAATTTTTAAAGTTTATTCAAGCTTTCGGAAATGTTAATTTCCATCATCAGGAATGCTACAATGATTAATAAATACCTTGGGAAACACTATGGGTATGCCTTGTTTCACATGAGGTCATCATTAAGTAAACAATGAGACAGAATTGAAATATTTAGAACACAGTGGTATTTTGCTATAGACTATTTCACGTTCTCGGAGCATTTATTATAAATCCACAGAGAAAAAAAATCACTAACCCTAAGTGAATATTTAATATAGTAGCTAGTGAAAACTTGTATTCTCTATGTGGTACAAGGAAACGATTTAATACAACCACAAAAATATTTGTGTTCTTGAAAATGAATGTACACCTACCACTATTAACCTGCTGTTCCATTGGGTTTCAGATTGATTACCGTTAGTGAACACAGCACTTGTCATTAATTACTATTCAATTGTCTTTAGTTACTTATTCACTTGTCATTATTTACTTATTCACTTGTCATTAGTGACTTACATTTGAGATTGGTGACTATTATTCACTTGTCATTATTGACCTAGTCACATGTCATTATAGTGACTTATTCACTTATCATAAGTGAATTATTCAGCTAGGTACTATAAAAAATTACATATATTGTTCTCTGAAAATTGATAATCTTGGTAAAAAGTCAAAAATTCATGCATTTGTTGATATGATGAATCCGGAAATGTCACAAAAAGGTAAGGCTGACGACAAATATCAAGACATCTAGAGACCGGGTATATCAGGATCATGCATGCGCCGAGAAAAACTGGTCCATCAGATGCACTGGTATTCTTTTTTTCTTTAGTGATGGAGATGAAAAAGTAAAACATTCTTATACTCATTAATACACGTCATTTTCTCCCATTTCAAGTATCACCGGAAGTGGAAAATAATCCTGGTAATGTTTACATTTATATACTGTTCCGAGAGTTATCCATTTCATTATCTTCTTCGAAAGATTAACAGATCAAGAAAAAATCAACACTCCACAGCTCAGAGCGTGGCAAAAAAAAATCTAATGGTCACTTGCATGTTTACCTAGCGGGATTCGGGAACACATGTATACTTCGCAAATGCTAAGATCATAATGATAATGAAGCCGTAGACATAAGTGGGAGTGGTCGCTTTGGGCGTGGGCATACGAATAATATATCGGAGATGTCCGAACGGAGAAAATATGTATAACCACATAGGTGCTGTCACCTGCACCAATCGATTTGATAGGTTGTCTTTATCGATGAGTTCGCTCAGAGCAAGTGATTTTCCCCTAAAAAAATAATCCAAAATTGGTGAGTACTCGTTAACTTAGCACCAGTTTAATGTTCACTTATAATTAGCGAACTCAAAATTCATATCGATTAGGTTAATACCAACAAGTATCCTGATCACTTACAGCAGAAACATTGTTTCAGAAATATTGTAGTGATGAAAGATTCATTCTGACAAGCACATCAGCCATAATTATATTGTATGCCCCTTTTGTATGCCGAACTGACAGACTTTGCTTCGCTATCCATCCATGGTTTTATCGTTGAAAACATCAACGCTAATAGACCAATCATAATTGTAAGGCACCCTTTGTTTTCGGTTATAATTGCACGTACATATATCCACCTTTATTGCACGAGTACATAAAATTTACCGACAATTTTGCAAGAAAGCGTGTTACCGTCAACTGGGGTTACTTTGCCCAATGGGGTAACTTTGCCAAGCGATGGGGCGCATACAAAATAAATATTTTCTCGGAAAACTGGCAACACCACATAGTCCGCAACTACCTTCAGAAGTCCGTTAGAAGCAAGTGCATCGTGCGATTCGTGCGCGCTTTTTTAAAAATGTAGGAAAAATAGTAAAAATACTGTTCAAACTCTGCAACAATTAATTTATTTTGGGTGCTATACTAAGGTATGTTGCACGTCATAGAAACTTTAATTTTGAAATATGTTTGTTATGTTGCTTTCGAGGTTATATCTGCTATAAGGCCCTGTTGCCGAAGTGATTCGAAGTATTTTTAGTTTCTGATGGCGAAGTTACCCCATGAGTTCATATCACTTATGCGTTTTTCACTTCCATGAAGATTTATCAAAGTATAAAATTATTTAGATTAGTTTTCTCATGTATTCTTGACGTTTATTGATGTTCAGATGATTAACATGATTAAGCGCCAGAGTTTCGAACCAAAGAGGAAAGAGGGTACTTTTTTCAGTTAAAATTACAATATTTGTATTTATTTACATCAAACTTGGGGAAACTTTGCCAAATTTTTGACGCAGAAAAAAAAAAGTAGACATCATAGAGCTTTGAAAATTTAACTACCTATCCATAACAAACTGATGATTGACATATATCAAGGATTTAACATAAACGTTGAAACAATGTGAGTTATCATCAAAAAACTTGCAAAATCAGGAAAAGTCACCCCAGTTGCCGGTATTTAAAATTTACAGTTTATTTTCATATTTTTTGGCAAAAGAGCCAGTGTCCGGTAAATAATGCCTAATCAGTTTTCTTCGATTTTGCTGGAGTTTTTGTGATCGCAGTGGGCTAAGAAATTGTGATTAATAATTTTTGTTTGCTCAAAAAAGTAAATTTTGAGTAAAATACTATGAGAAAAAAATCCAAATCGCCCTAGGAATAATAAGAAAGTACAGCGATGGGGTGTGGATCAAATTATAACACACTGATGTATTAATATACAGTGTGGTCATTTGAGTGTGCAACATATGGGAATCTTTTTAATGAATTGCACAACCAAAATACAGATAGCGCCGAAAGTTGGTGCATGTTCAGTGATCATTTTAGGTGCACTCAAAATGGTAGCAAGTCAAACAGCATACAGGGTAGATCAAAAATATAAAAATTGTTCAAGAGCAAAGTACCCTTTTATTTCAGAAAATTCAGCAATTGTTGATGGGAAAAGTTGTTTGCAATTGAAAGTAATGTCAAAATATCAAAACATGGCCTCCTCTATGACATAGTTGAGTTTTAAATTTTTTTTCGTTAATACTATCCCAATTTGTAATTTTTTTTTATATTCACCCTAAACATTTCCACAAGGTGATCATATCAAAATCAGTTGATCATTCCTTTGTTCAAATTCAAGCATATTTGTTGCAATTAACTTGGATTTTAAAGTTTTTAGGGAATCACAAACTTAATGTTTGTTGCAACGATATTTAGCTGAACTTTAAAATTTCGTAAACCATATTTTTAACAAGGGGAAACGTCATTATTCAATTTCAATACGTAGTTTTGCAATCAATTCCTCTTTCTCCATGATAATTTTGTTTTGCATTTCATGTGATGATAATAGATTTTTTTAGCCTGTCTTGTAAATGGATGGAACAGCAGATTTTCTATAACGGATCTTGAAATCTTCTGTTGAAAAATGAACCTAAAATATAGTTTTACTCTGATCTGCTATTATAAGAAGTGGATTTTAATGTATGTTCCTCACAAATTATGATTTTCAGATTAATTTTCGCATCCAGGCCGTTTCATACATTCCTTCCATATGAGAATGATTGATATTACTTTTGGAAAATCAAATAAATGAAATCCTTTCTCTTCAGAATTTCCACAATTCATTACACAGCAGGACATTTTACTTTTTTCTCAATAGTTTATGAAATTATATTTCAATTCTGACGTCCATGAAATGTATTGTCTAATTCAGACCATTTTGAATGAAAAAGCGCGGGACGGCTATGGTGTAAAACTTAATAAATCTAAACATTTAAAAACACTAACAGTTGTCATTTCTGTGTCCGAACTCTTTTCGAACTAATACCAAGACACCCTGAAATATGCCAGGTACTTCAAAAGATCAGTTTAATATTTGTAATCTTTATTAAAAAATTACCAGGACTTTTTTGAAATCAAACTTTGAATATGCCCTTTGAGCTTCATGGAAAAATAGAGGGCTTAACCTTATATTGAATTTCCTTATATACAATGTCAAATATATAAAACTATATGATAGCATATACCATATTTAACTCCTGCCTGCTGGTAATTCCTCTGCTCCATTTATGGGTGCCTCTTCTTCAGTAGAAATTTCCTGCAATACGACAATAAGCATCTAAATTAGAAAATTTTCAAAACTTCTGCTTTGAATAGTTTTTCTCAAGTATAATAGGTGGTTTCATGGAACATTCATCATGATTATAATCACTGAAAAATTATTTGAAAGATAGAATCGAAAATTTTCAAATTTGAATGATTATAAATTACAATTCAGTAGCGGCACCTTCCAACAGAGGAGGCTGAATGAAAATATTTCTCATATTCTTGTTTTTTCTCCTTACTGTATCATTATAATTTTCAATTAATTATTATGTGAGCAGTACCTATAACATCTTATTTATCCGTTAACTTGAACTTTGAAAATGGTACAAAGTATCGAGTTTTACCGACAGTACCGTTTTGGTGTAGAATTGAATAATGGTTCAAGTTCACATAAAAATTTAACTAGAGAATCCAACCTCAAAAAAGTTATGTTTAAAACTACTCGGTACGGACCATGTAACTAGCACCCTCTATGAGTGGCAGATATAAAAACAAATTCAAGCGATGAGTCAGCTTCCAAAACATGTTCATACGACATTTCATCACAATCTTAAGGAATGTGTATAAAAACACCCGAAAACAACAAACATGATTGAACATTCGACTCCACCCTGATATCTTCTGTTATAGATAAATAATATCCCATAATAATAATTATAGTACGCCTATGATGCTCGTTGCCTAACATTAGACTGAAGAGTTGTGTGTTTTGTGTTCTGTGAATGAAGGTAAGTAGCTAGCCTCGCAGGAAGACAGTCATGCGTACTTCAAAAAAATACTTCAAGAACTTTATCGGGAAAAGATTTATATTTGATAGGCAATTAACTTTTAAAATAATATCTTTTTTTTCACACGAAACTATCAACTGAACATGTGATGAAAAGGGGGTATCTTTGAACAATTATTTAATGTATAAGGCATCAACAATAATCATTAAAAATTAAAAAGAATCCTGCAATAAGATTTAAGTTGTGAATACCAATTGTCACTGAGAAGTGTCAAGACGAATAACTGACGAATTTGCAGATTCGTTCCTGAAACGTCCATAAAAGATAAGTGAAAATCTGATATTTTTTGAAGAACAATCGTCAAAAAATTGTATTTTTCTACTCACATAACTAAAATGGCATTTAGCGTACGGATATGTACCACGCTAAATGATCGATTAATCACGGATTGACGATCTGTGATTTATTCAAAATATTAAACACGTTACCATGGCAACACGATTTCTTAAACACGTTACCATGGCAACACAGTTCATTAAACACAGCTTCAGTAATTTGAGACATGTCTGGCCTGTCAATTGTATTAACTGTCAACTGTTATTTTTAAATTTTGTATCAGAATTATTCAAACAATATTCGTTTGTATCAGAATTCTCCATTGAAAATATATGCGAGATGTAGACGAAAGTGAAATCGAAGAGAATGTTCTGGTACTTGCATATCTCCAAGAAGTGTAAAAATGAAGCATCCATCTTTGAGAACAATTTATCTATTCTGCGCTAAGCATGACAATAAACGTGAAACAAAGGTTAGTAAGCAATGGACTGGACACATCTACAACCAATATCACTTATACGTGTCTCGCTGGTTGCATGCAGTTGCATGTATTATGTTCTCAATTCCCATTCCTTTCGAATTATTTTGTAGGTTAGCAGATATTGCAGGTATGTTGATGTTATTTTCGGAGTTCGTAGAAAAATTATAGTATGTAACGCGTTTATAAACTCTTCTAGACACTCGTTTATTAAACACTCGCTCCGCTCTGCTCCGCTCGTGCTTAAAATACTCGTTACTAAAAGGACGTTTATAACACTTGTTACATAATATACTATTACAGTATACCTTGTGTTTGTTGAAAGTTTTATACAGGTGAAACCAAGAGACCCCTTTCAGTAAAGATGAAGGAACATAAGTACAATATAAAGAAAAGACACATCGACAAATCGAAACTAGCTGAACATATCCTTACTGAAGATGAACAACACATGGCAGAGTGGAATGATATTAAAATTATTGTAAAAGAAGATAACAACCAGAAGAGGAAAATCAAGGAATCTGCTTGCATTCTTCGGAACGGAGACAATGGCATTGCTTGCTGTTCCTCGATGAAATATAATGTTAAATCTTCGATGAAATACAGGATGTCCCTAAAAGGTCTGTACAAAATCCCTGCAAAAATCCCTGAGGTCAAGATAAGCAGATTCAAAGCAACTAACTTCAGTCCAAAATTACTCCATTTCTGAGATCCATTTCTGAGAAACAGAGTGGTAAAGTTGAAAAATAAAAATCGAAACTTTCAAAATGTATGTACATTTTCAACTGTATCATCTCCAAAATCGGTAGCCAAAGGCTTTTTGGGATGCGAAACCCGAATACGGACACCTCTTCGATGTGGCCATTAGAGGGCGATTACCAATACACTTCTTATGGTTTAGAATGGCCATTACTTTTTTCTCAGTGTGATTTTTCACTTTTATTTGTTGATGAGATATTGAATATACAGGGTGCCCGTAATTCGAGCTTAAGCATGGGGATCTCGGTTATCTTGAGAGATACGATGTTACTCAAAGTTGCACATTCTGGCGCTGAACAATAATCTGATAAAAAACTGACCTGCCTTTCTTAGTTTTCAAGATATCGCCGAACAACTGAATTTTGCGATTTTCGTTTTGATTTTCTTGTGGGAAAACCGATCAAGTTAGCCATTTGTAACCGAAACATTCTCGAAGCAGTTTTCTGTAAGGAATTCGAAAATGATATTTTTTCAACACACGAAGAAAGAAACAAACGACAGTCAACTTTTTTTTCTCATGGACGCCATATTGAATTTTTATTTTTCTGAATACAGTTTTTTTTCTGGTTCCGACGATGTACTACACAACATGTTTTGGTTTCATATCATGGTCGAAATTTCCTAATCAATATTTTTTCGAAGATTCCCGTGGAAACTTTGTCGAATTTGTTGATTTCGAATTTTGACAGTTCAGGACAGTTTTAACGCTAGAAGTTCACTCTTTTAGATTGCAAAATGTCATTTTCCAATGAAGAAGAGAGAGACATGTTGGAAATGTATTATGCTTGTCATTGAAATGTTCAAGTAACAAGTGAAACATATTTACAACGTTTTCCTGAAAGATATCAACCAAATATTGGATATTTCCTAGGTCTCCATAGAAATCTGGGCCGATATGGTTCATTTCGGCGACCCAGACATAAATATGGCGAGAGAGCTGATGAATATGAAGGAAACATATTACAAGCGGTAAAATATAATTTTCAGATTGAATTTCAGTTAAGATATTTTTCATTTGGTCCAAGAAAATCGCTACATATCAACGAGACAAATTGGAGCGCGGTTGAATTTACGACACCAGTTGGTATGGAGGACACCCTGGAGACAGGGAACGCAGATTAGAAGTTTGCAGGTATTTGTTGGATCGAATACGTGAAAATCCAGATTTCCATCACAATGTAATATGGAGTGACGAATCGAAATTTACGAATTCAGGGATGTTCTATAGACATAATGAACATGTGAGGTCTATCGAAAATCCCCGTGTAAACCAAGAAAGGCGACCTCAGATACGCTTTGGACTGAATGTTTTGGTTGATTTAGTAGATGGAACAGTTATTGGTCCATACATTTATAAAGAAAATTTGACTACAGAGAGATATGTTGATTTTATAAGCACTTTTTTGACAGATAATATGGATAACAATATTAATCTCAACCGCCTACTTGATTTATGGTTTCAGCAACACATAATGCCAGAAGAGTTACAGAATATTTGTCAGAAATGTTTCTTAATAGGGTAATTGCGAATAGTGGTGATGTACGTTAGCCAGCGCGTTCTGCAGACTTATCACCCTTGGACTACTTTTTATGGGGCACAATGAAAAATACAGTTTATAAAACTGTGCCAGTCGATATTAATGACCTTCGGCAAAATATTATTGACTCCTTGAGACAGATAAGAAGATGAAGTATGGAAAGAGCAATTGCAAATATGAGAAAACGTGCAGAATTATGTATACTGAAGGTCAGTGAATGAGCAGTGTAAAAATATATTTTCAAAATATAATAAAAACTCTCCAAGTCGTCTCCACAACGTTTCATTCCAAATTCAAGAAAGGGGGGACATGTTTCGGACCCAAAAGGTATCCATCATCAGCCAGAAAGAAATTATTCTACAAAGATCAGCGAAACACTAAGTAGGTATATCAAGTAAAACAAATTGGTACTCAAGTGGAGAAGAAAAAGGCAAAAACATGGTTATAATTAGCATGGTACAACGGTTATTAGAACATGTTTATAGTTTTAAATGAAGTAAACAGGTATCATTATTTAAATTGGGTCCCTGTACCCCAGATATTTGCTCAACGACCTCGTACATTCGGTAGCAGCAAGCAATCACAGAATGATTTAAAACATCCGACAGAAACATGCTGATAATATTGATAAAAAATATTGATGAAATCAATCGATTTTTCCTATGAACATCTCATATCTCAAAGATACCAGGCCTGCTCGTTCGTACCGCTGTACCCGCCAAAGTTGATTCCCCTCCAATAGTTGTCTCTGTTCATGGCATGATGTAAACAGAGAAAGTAATAGAAACAAATCAAGTTCAGCAGGCAGAGCAAGCACAAACGAACAGGACTGTCAAGTCAAAATCCACAACCGACAGCCAACGTCAAAAACCCCAGCTATCAGCCGTGAAGCGTGACAAGAACGAGTGTTCTATGATAACCATGACTGAGAACCATGACCAACGTGAAATAATTAGAATACAATGATGGAAGGTAGCGCAACTGTGTTCAACAATAGAATTTAGAATTTAGGTTTGGAGACCAAAGTAGGAAAACAATTATAACAGAAAATTTAGAAACATAAGGAATTGAACAATTTTTGACAATCAAAATGAGTTTGATCGTTTAGAGATAACACATTTTCATACTTCAATGAAACATTTATCTCAAAAACTTCTAACAAATTCAATAAATTGCCCTTACGGCAAATATGTAGAATATCCAGATCAGTATTCAAATCAAAGGAATGTTGGAAATTGAGGACATGGTTAGCAGTTTATTATATTTCAACTACTTCACTCCACTTTGAGATAACATGGACTTCTACAGTAGAATATATTTTTATTTTTTAAATTTATCATCCTGTATCTCGGAAACGGAGAAATTTCGGACTGAGGTGAGTTTCTTTAAACCGGTTCATTTTGACCTCAGGACTCAGGACTATGTGTTAAGATTTTATACAAACCTTTAAGGGATACCCTGTATAGTGCCAACAGTGGAAGGATGCGGTGTATGTTTGGTTGCCTATACTACAATCATGTAGTAATAGACAAATTGAATATTAACGATCAATTTCTAGGACTAGGTCGACGGAAAAGGTTTTTTAACAAAGCTTGCTCTAGACTGTAGAGCACCAGAGTTGCACATGTTAACATTGCAAAAACAGTCTAAAAATGGGTACAGGATCGTTGTATTTTTTATCTCCTGGAGCGCATGAAAGGAAATTTCTATAATGACTTCATTGTCTTATTATTTCCCAATAAATGTCATCTTCCATGAAATGTCACATTTCAAGCAATGACAGCTCTGTCTAATGAAGCATTACTTAGGAGAAAATCAGATAGCTACAAGCCGAAAAAAATCTAAAATTTCGCTATTATCTGTTACAGCCATAGAAAAAGTATAGTGTATAACTTGCACGGAATGCTAATTTCCCACTAGTATGATTTGCATTTGAACTTCATTCTCCTGGTAAATGACTATCATTCCGTGCTCGTTAAATAATATACTATTGATCCTGGATATTGGTCGACTTACCTGAGTTTCTTTTTCATCAAGCCGATCCATAAATGCTTGACGAGACCCTGAAAAAATGTGACCGATAAAATACTAGTATATTTATATAAATAATATGAATGTGACTCGATAGATGTTCATTTGGTTTAACCAATAATTAAGGACATTTTTTGTTTTTATTATTATCAATAATGTGATAATCTAGTTGTCAATAATTCAGAAACGAATAGTTTAGGCAATGTTTTTTTCTTAAATTCAGAAAGTAACTTTATATGAAACTTACAATCTCTAGACTACGAGGTTCTTATACCTTTTCAACTTCAAATTGAGGCTAATAATGTTCAAAATGACAATAATTATATTTGAATTGAGATTAAATAATTCAGCATGAATTATTTTTCAATTTCAGATCGGGTAGCGAATCTTTCAATGATACCAAACACGAAATTCAACAAAAACCCAGTTGACAAATTTGTATCTCCACTTATTTAGAATAATCATACATAGAAACGATAATTTTATGGTTTCCTCAACACACACCAACAGCTGTGCCTACACTAACTTATCAATATGGTATTGATTCTGTTTACTCCAATTGTATAGCAGCCAATTTCTTCCAATCACCATTATTTTTATCATTTAAGGCCATAAACATTCGTTTTCTGACGTTGTCAGCATCTTCAATCTTGATATTCGCGTGAATCAATGTTACCAGGTGGCGCTCGGTTTTCATCGTTCCATGTCAAAACCACGTCAAAACTGGGGGAAAACAAACTCAATCCTCACTCAATTGACTCAATCCCATTAGCTTCTGTACTGTGTACTGATAAGAGTGATGTTTTTAAATTTCTTGACATTAATTGTCAATATTCGATCGAAAACGCTAATAATGCCTGTTGTAGATGTTCTTTTGGCAGATATTTTGCTCTATTTAGATGGAAAAAGCCGACCAGTAGTGGAAGGAGAAGCAGTTCTCCGTGCTAATCATGTGTTTTGTGTGAGGCAGAAGACTTCAACAAAAGGCACATTTTTGCACTTTGTCTACAAACTTCGGCGATGAAATCTTCCCCACATGAAGTAAAATTAAAGTTGGGGTCCAGAGGAACTCCTGTAGAACATTGAATTTATATTTGTTCATGCAAAGCAGGACAATCTGGGTATTGTAAACATGTTGTAGCTGTTCTTTTATACCGGGTGGCTACGGAAGTATTGCCTACGGAATATCTCAGTTATTGTATGGAGTAGGTTTGTGAAATTTGAAGCGTCGATATAATGACATAAGAACTAGAATTTGAGCATACTGACATGTCGAAGTTAACTTCCGGTCTGACCGGAAGTAACATCAACTTTCTTATTTTAAATGGAAACCCCCTTTTTTTTTTTCGCTTCATTCAGCATTCAATTCCCTTTCTAATGACATATCACAAGTTGGTATCTAACCAGAAACTAGATCAGAAAAAAAAAATTATTGAAATTCACCGAGTAGGCCGTGGAAGCAAAATGAAAGCCAAAAATTGAAAAGTTGGCTATGGAAACCATACGTCACTTGATAACAGTTGCTACTACAGGATATAATTTATCATTCCACATTATTTTTAATTTTATTTTTGCGTATGGCGATAATCTGTTTTGTTATTTGAAAAATAATAATTGGATTTTCTGGTATTTCATTTCAAAAAATGACTTTCTATTATATCATCAGAAAGGAATGGTTATGCTGAATAGTACAGGCAAGAAAAAGTTGTATGTTCCTATTTGAGTTATGGACCTACAGAGTATTGTTTTTTCCCCAATTTTTCCAATATTTTTTTTGGCGGCTTTTTATAACGCCGACGAATGAAAATAAAATATCACAGTAGTAGCAACTGGTATCAAGTGACGTATGGTTTCCATAGCCAACTTTTCAATTCTTGGCTTCCATTTTGCTTCCACGGCCTACTCAATGAATTTCAATAATAATTTTTTTCTGATCTAGTTTCTGGTTAGATACCAACTTGTGATATGTCATTAGAAAGGGAATTGAATGCTGAATAAAGCGCAAAGAAAAAAAATAGGGTTTCCATTCAAAATAAGAAAGTTGATGTTACTTCCGGTCAGACCGGAAGTTAACTTCAACATGTCAATATGCTCAAATTCTAGCTCTTATGTCATTATATCGACGCTCCAAATTTCACAAACCTACTTCATACAATAACTGAGATATTCCGTAGGCAATACTTCCGTAGCCACCCGGTATATCAATTGATTTGCACGTCATAATTTGTTTGAATTGTTTGAACTATCTCCAATTTTTCACCCGTTCACTAACTAACTAAGCTAATAAAAATGTAATAATGTAAAAAATTCAACCAACTCAACCATCATCACTACCAACAGTGCCAACACTTTATGTCATTGACAAGTTTGACTACAGCTACAGCAAGCAGAATGTAATGTAGTCTATGCACTTTATCCATAGACAACAGTTTGTTTTCCCCAGTTTGAAATTCGTATTATGTAACCTAGATGTCGCCCACTTCGTGAATCTCGCGAATATGGCACATTAGGTTCCATGTGAATATTGGGTCAATTATACAGGGCGTTCCTGAAAGGTCTGTACAAAATCTCAGCACATATTCCTGAGATACAGGGTGTTAAAGTTGAAAAATAAAAATAGAATTTTTCAGAATTTATGAAGATTTCAAAACGAATTACTTCAAGAATAGAGCAATGTCTGCTGACGTCACAACACGACGCACTCGTCGTTTTCATCAGCTGGTCGGGGGACAAACAAAGCTGTGTGTGAATTTTGGTTTTATTATTTCTGACCCATTGGTGATTTTGTTGAACTTGTAGATATTATACAAGAAGAATGTGTACATTTTCTTCCAAAATGAGTATCTATTGAGGTATATTACGAGGTATATTAGGTATATTAGAGCTGAACTCAAGTAAATCCAGTAATTAAAAATTGACAAATAAACCAATTTGAACTCTTCGTTGGACTCATTCGCTTCTCTCACAGGATTCATGATGAATGAATTAACAAACATGTCAATAAATAGATGCTCCAGGTATTGTATTCTAGTGGTAAATGTGCAAGAAAGTTACATGTACCCTTATGGAAAATGTGTATGCTTGTCCCCCCATCAGGTGTTCAATGGCCGACAATTTTACGTCATATGACGTCACTGACAATGCTCTATTGGTTTCTAGGGTTTGTTGGAATTTGAAACCGGAATATGAATGTTTAGAATGGTCATAACATTGTTCTCAGTGTAGTTATTTACTTTTTACGTTAGGGAAATAATTTTTTGAACATTTTTTGGCAAAACAGGTACTTCTTTGAACATCCGCTAAATATCCCGGTTTTAGTGCTTTTAGAAGCTGCACCGGAATATTGAAATTGTTTTGAATAAAAATTGTTTGCTGTCACCTTCGTAATTTGGACAGTGAATAAGCAGTAGTGCAAAAATGGATTTTTCAACATACTTTCTTGGAGTGTACTTGTCGATTTTCATTTTTTAATTTGACCACCCTGTATCTCGGAAACGGAGCAATTTCGGACTTAGGTAAGTTGTTTTGAATCGGCTCATTTTGACCTCAGGAATATGTGCTAAGATTTTGTACAGACCTTTCAGGAACACCCTGTATATACAAAAAAGGGAAGGTAGAATTTTCTCAATTATTGGAATACAGTGTGTCAATTTTGCTCTGGAAGAAATTTTTAAATTGGTATTTGACCAGAACACTGCTAGTTTGTTGTTATTTTGTATGGTTGATATGGCCAATGTTTTCTCTTGTACTGCCGAGGCCAACATAGTTATTTTTGCCTCGGGTCGAAGAGGGGTAGAAAATACTAGGATTTGAATCCGGAGAGCAAACTACGGTCGAAAGAAGTTCCTCCGGTGATGAATTTGAAGAAATAGCTCAGTTATTTTGATAGATAGTGGCAGTCAACTGTCATCGCAGGGATTCTTTGGAGAGTTTTGCAGTATAAATAGCAAGTTGGCCGATTTGCCAACGAATAATACCATTATAGTAGGACATTAAAAGGCAAGGGTCAAAAAATCGAAAATAACATTTTGCTAAGTTTATTTTGCATGTGTCATTCTACTATTGTCATTGTGATTGGCTATCTGACTTTAAAGTTAACGTCTGTTTCGATACTTTACTGTAATGTATTTGTATATCGGGTGTCAAGGAATCTATTAGACAAGCCATAACTTCTAGAATATCAAGTGTATCAGAATGAGATTTGGTATAGGTGAATGGTATGCAAAGAGGAAAGTTTCGCATATTTTTAACTTTTCGATCACTTCCGGTATCATCGGAAATGAATTTTTAAATATAAAACCCTGTATATTGTTATATTTTTGGATTCCTGAGACAATTCTGGACATGATTGTGACATTTTTGAGAGTTTTTACGTCGTCTCAATATTGCATACAGGTTGCCATGATCGGACGTAAATTAATCTAATGGCCTCAGGTGATGTCAGAAAATTACATTCACAAAGTTTTGATGACTAATATGATAGATAGGAATAAGACAAGTTGGCAAAATTGCATCTTCGTGTCTATCATTTTTCAAACAGCGACCATTTTTTGATAAGCACTTTTAGAAAAGAGGAGTGACGAATCTAACTCTACTAATTTATTTACGATTGGATTAAGAATAAGATCATCATTGAATATCACTAAACAGAATACTGGATAATAATTCATTTACTTTTGTCAAGTGTGCCATGGACAGTCATGATGCAAAATATCTTGCAGTTATTCTCATCAAGTCTTCTTTGGAAAACAAATTACTCTCTCGAGTAACATAGTGACTAGTGACATAAGCTTTATGTGACAGTGACATAAGCTTTATGTGACAGTGACATAAGCTTTATGTGACAGTGACATAAGCTTTATGTGACAGTGACATAAGCTTTATGTGACAGTGACATAAGCTTTATGTGACAGTGACATAAGCTTTATGTGACAGTGACATAAGCTTTATGAGCAAAAAGTAAAAGTTCCTCAGTTTTGTGCAATAGTCAAAGTGCCTCTAGAAATATAAAATAGGCGTCAAGACTTTTGTAGATGTCACAATCTGATCCAGAATTTTCTTGGAAATTCAAAAATGTTACAATATAATTATGGACCAGATTATCACACCTTCAAAAGTTTTGACACATACATTATTCTAATTACTTTGAATTTTGCACAAAATAAAGAAACTTTTACTTTCTGCTCATAAAGCTTATGTCACTGTCATTGCTTAAGTTAGTGTTTTGTTTTCCGAAGAAGACTTGATGACGATAACTTCAAAATATTATGTATCATGGCTATCCAAGTATCCATGCCACACTTGACAAAAGTAAAAGAGTTATTATCCAGTATTCTGCTTAGTAATATTCAATTTGTGTTTTTATTTTTAATCCAATCGCAAATAAATTAGTATCGTTCGATTGGTAAAACATTCCTGTTTTCAAAAGGTGCTTGTCAAAAATGGTCGCCATTTGAAAAATAATAGTTAGACACGAAAATGTAATTTCGCCAACTTGTCCCGCTTCTATCTATCATATCAGTTACTAAAACTTTGTGAGTGTAATTTTATATAGTTATATATAGTTTACGTCCGATCATGGCTGCAAGATGCAATATTAAAAGTGACTCTTGAGAAAATTAAATTGGCGTAAAAATCTCAAAAATGTTACAATATACAGGGTGTTTCATTTAAAAATTCAAAACTGGAACCATTTGCGGTGAAACCGGAAGTGATCGGAAAGTGAAAAATATTCGAAACTTTCCTCTTCACATACCATTTACCTATACCAAATCTCATTATGATACACTTGATATTCTAGAAGTTATGGCTTGTCTAATAGATTCGTTGACACCCGGTAGGTGTCAGGTTAACAGGTGACAATATTTTTTAGTTAAGAATTGACAGAGAGATCGTTGGGATGTCTTGGCATGGAATATATTTTCTCCCAACTCCAAAAACCATGACTGCAAAAGCAGAAGTTGGTCTTCACTATGTAGGAAGGGATTTATTTCATTGTATGCATGTAATCTAGTGATAATATAAAAATGAGAACTGGTGTCAACTATAAAAAGTTATGCCCATACATCTAAGTACTCACTTGGTTCTGCACATAAAACGAAAATCTCAGTTTCTGACATATCCATTTCCTTGCATGTGGCTCTAAACTGACTCACCAACTCTGTGAAACCTTCAAAGAAACTTGTGGAATTTTCCGGCAACTTCACCACTTTCTGAAAAGAGAAACAATCTCAATCAAGACAAACCTTCTGCTCTTAAAGCTTATGTCACTGTCGTAACCTAAGTGAGTGTTTTGTTCTCCCAAAAAGACTTGATCGAAATAACTGCAACATATTATGCATCATGCATATCCTCGGCACTTTTGACAAAAGTTAATCAATTATTATGAAGTATTTTCGTCAGTAATATTCAATTTATGTTCTCATTTGTAATCCAATCGCAAATAAATTAGTATCGTTAGATTCGTCAAAATATCCTTTTTTCGGAAAGTGCTTGTCAAAAAATGGTCGCCATTTGAAAAATAAAAGTTAGACACGAAAATGTAATTTTGACAACTTGTCTTATTCATATCTATCATACTTGTCACTAAAACTTCGCGATTGTAATTTTCTGATATCACCTGAGGTCCTTAGATTAGTTGACTTCCGATCATGGCCACCTAGACGTAATTTCAAAAGTGACTCCGAAAACATTAAGTAGGCATGGAAACTTTCGAATATGTCACACTCTGATCTAGAATTGTCTCAGAAATCCAAAAATGTTACAATATACAGGTGTTCCATTTAAAAATTTAGAACCGGAGCCATTTCCGGTGAAACCGGAAGTGACCGGAAAGTGAAAAATATGTGAACATTTTCTTCTTCACATACCATTTACCTATAACAAATCTCATTTTGATACACCTAATGGTCCAGAAGTTATGACTTGTCTAATAGATTCGTTGGCACCCAGTTGATAAAAGTATTTTTCTTTAGAAAATAATAATCCCCCTTTTATGTCAAAGTCAAGCATTCCCTGCGAAATTCATTCAAGTGGATTTCTACACTAAGCTCATTGTTATATATATTTGTTTTGTTGAATAATTACTTCAATTTTTTGACATAAAATATAAATAAGAACATAATTCTCTAATAATGGGTAGAAGGACCTCGGTCGATAGCCTATTGAATTGAATGAAATTTGATTCAATATAGAACAATTTCTATTATTAAGAGTTGCAATAGAACGTTTAAAAACAACTATTCCAACTAAACGTCTTTGAAATTCAAACAAATAAAAGCCTATTTCTAGTGTTTAATCAAAAATTGTGAATTTTTACATGTAGCGATAGTCACGTGATCTCAACAGAGTAGGCCACTTTTGAACTCTTTTGAAGCAAAATTTAATGACCAAGTCGAATTTCCAAATAAACTATTATTACTACATGTTTTCCAGATGATGCCAACTTTCTGAAAAATACTGTATGCATAGAAAATAAACTGGGAACTGTATCAAATACAATTTGAAAAAAATAAATGGAACAGGTGTTGTCCCACTTTCAATTATTCAAATAATTACAAAATAACATATCCATATCTTACCTTGAACTTTGCATAAACATCCTCGGCCTTAGATCTAACTTTCTCTGCTTGGCTTGAAAACTCCGTCAAAGAATCGTCCGTCATTTTCCATTCTTTAGTGTTCCCCACGTACTTTCGCAACCTCCTCACCATTTCGACGATATGCAAATGCTTTTTCAGCATAACATCATCGAAATCAATAGCGTTCATCTCTTCCAGATAACCTATCGCTTCTTTAGGATCGGCCTTGTCTAGCCCGAGACAGTTTTTGATTTTCCCATCGAGACTAACTAACTCGGCCTCCTGTTTCAAGCGAGCCACTCTGGCAGTTCTCAATTTCACGTCTTTCGCCAGGCTCTGCTGTTTGATTTCCTCTGCGGATAATCCGATATCGGAAACGAATTTCTCAGCATCGCTGGTTAAGCTGGTGTCGCCTGATAATATTTTAACTTTTGCCTCCAAGGCATTTTGCGCTACCGACTCATCGTAGACCGCCCTATCATATTCGTTGTCGAATTTTAGGGGCCAGTCTGCGTGGAGCTTTATTCCCCCCATTATGCCCGACGGAAGTTGGACAGGCAAGACTTGCCTTATGTAATCTTCTCTTGGTTCGACAGATCTTTCTGTAAAAAAATCGTGACATGGAAGAAACGTGAAAACACGTGAAATATGAAAGCTAAGTTATAAATTATCGTGCAGTTTGGTCATTTCATATTGGTTTGAACACAGAATTTTTTAACGAAATCTAACATAAGGCACTCTATAAAAAAATCGATATATTTTTCTCAGTACGCCACTGACAAGATCTGGCACAAAGAGATACATTGAAATCAAGCATACTCAAATAAATTCTATCGATTTTTTTATCGAGAGTACTTAAATATGCATCCGATTCGCCGATCGAAATGTTCATGTGAATTAATAATCTTCCAAGAATCCCTTCAAAACAAATCTATAACTATCCATAGTGTTCCACTTGAAAATGGCTACAATTGATCATTTCATAACTGGTTGGCCAATTAGCATGATACTATTAGGACATATGGTTTATCTGTATCTTAATGACATACCGAAGAGAAATACTGGAAATACATCATCTTCATTTTTTATTCAGTTTTACTGAGGATGTAGACTTAATTGCCGAAATGCGTATTTGGGTTTTTAAAATTTAATTGTGACGGTATCTATCTTTTCCGATGGCGACATTGCCAACTTTTTAAACTCACCTTTATAAATAGACTTCATTTCCTTAACATGTTTACCCTTAAAACAAACAAAATTAGGAAATATTCATTTCTTTTAGGGAGAAACTTACATAGCTAATGTTGTATTTGAGATGTTGGTCAGAAACAATTTCAATTTTGACATCGACTGGAGCAGAATTTTCTAAGACATTTTTTCCAGTTTCTTGTTTCACAGGCTCATTTTCTTCATTTCCATTATCGGGTTTCTGGTCGAGTTCTTCAGGAACTGATTCATTCCTGAAATAGGTGATTTTAGCACACCTCTTCAGGACAATAATGCACTTTAATTGTAAAGTGTGGTCGACCGACTTTGTGTCGCTTCATTTTTTTTTTTAATTACTTTGGACCACTTTGAGATATGGATGATTTTCATGATTTGGTGTGCAGAATTGTTACAGTGTAGAATTTTGGGCGAAAGCATGCGTATACAGAGTGTCCCAAAATTGCTGGGACACAGAGCTATCACGTGAAATAGAGGTCAAAATACGTTCATTGGACCGAATTTAATATTTATATACAAAAATGTACCGTTTGTCCGTGAGAAGAGTTATAAGTTTACATAAAAGAAACAGGTGCATTTCATTGTGTTACGTCGAATTGACCTTCGTATTGATGAAGGTGGTCGTCATATTGAACATTTAGTATAAAACACGTTCTGCCTTCAGTGGAAACAGTCAACTGAATTTTGAATTACAATGTTATTAAATGTGTAATGTGTATTGGGAATATCTGTTAGCATTATTAAATAAAACATTTTTTTCCTTCGGAAATAGGGGGAGTACGAATATTTTACAGGAGTAACAAAATGAAGATAATTAATATGTCTTCTCGTTAAAAAAAATTGAGAACCGTTTTACCACCCTCAAGAATGTTCTGAAAAAAAAATTAGGGAGTGAGGGTGGTTTCAATCCTCCTACAATTTCTTTTGGGTTTTTTTCATTACTGAAAGGAGAGTAATCCTCTAAAATGCACTTTTGTCTAATTTCATTTTATTTGTTCCACTCATTTCTGAACAGGGAACAAAAATGTGTTTTTTATGTGAACTTTGAACTCTTCTTACGGACAAATGGTACATTTTGGTGTATAAATTGGGTCCAATCAGCTTATTTTGAACTTTGTTACACCTGGTAGCCTCTGTATCCCAGAAATTTTGGGACACCCTATATTTGAGATATACCTGGCAACTATTCAATGAAAAATAATAATTATTCTTTATATCGAATAATAGGACAGGTTTTCTGACACATTGTTTTTCAAACTCATCATATGATCATCCCCAATAATGTACAAATTTTCAACATTCAAATTTTCATTTTTCTGTATAGGTTGTGAGTATTCATTAAATACATACTTTTCATTTTTTTCGTGAGATCAAATTTGAGTTCAGAAAAAGAAAACGTGAAGATATGGGGGGAGAGGAGCTGCCACCATTTTCATAAAGTACTACTTAAACAAGTCATGTACACACAGCTAAAAATGCAAGCAGTTTTACGCAGTGTCACAAGAATCATCGATAAATCTAATGATTTGGGAAATTTCGCTCTATAATATCATAGTAATAATATACAACAAAACTTGCAAAAGTTGGGAAAGTGTCAGTGACTGTCACATTCAGTTGAATTCTAGGTGTACAGCCTCTAGAATAGTATATTGTCTAATGAGCACGGAATGATAGTGAAATTAGCATTCCGTGCGAGTTATACAATATAACTTTTCTACGGCTGTAACAGACAACAGCGACATTCTTTATTTCTTCGTTTTGTAGCCATCTGATTTCCTCTCAAGTAATGTTCATCTATTTGACATTGCTTGGCATTCTATGGGCAATGAGTTTTTTTTTGGAATAACACAATGGAGTCATTGTGATATCAGATACAGATCATTGATGTATACAGTAAAACAAGAGCAATATTGTGTTATAGCCGTAGAAAAATTCCTTTTTTGTATTTGTACTAGTGTTTTCACCACCAATATTCCCCACACTGCATAATATATGACAAAATACCAATTTGTATGATTTTTCAAATAACTTATGTGGTTCTGTCAAACAGTCTGAACTTTTTTCCGCGAAAAGTCAGACTGACAATGACTTTCTGCTTCATGACTTAGACACAGGCGATCTGACAAATCGGCCAATGAGATGAGAATACGCTGTAAGCCAAACAGTGAAAAGCCAGCAACACGCCCGTCGTTATAATAATGATTCATAATTCATCTCAAATTGAAGTTGCGGAGCAATCAGTAGGTGTGAATTGTGTGTTCAACTTAACGATTGCCAGTTTGAACATCTTAATTTTTTTCACAGCACACGTTGAAATCACATGCGTTGTCGAAATATCTGACAAATGGAACACTGACGCTAATTTCAGTCACAATGATACATCTCAAAATTATATGAAAATATCTATTTTTTGTCAACCGAACATTTATTTTTTATTTCAACTATCAAAAATATCAAAACAGAAGAGAGAACAGTTGACAGTCGATGACGTTACAGTTGGAATTTGAAAAAAAGATGATCAGAGCTTACTCATAGTATTTGATGAGTGATTTAATTTGCTCTTTAGTTTTTGAAATCGGACAATTAATAGCGGCAAAGAGCCATGAATAAAAATAGATATAGGAATATGTTTGGCCTTGCTTGTGGTTGCTAGAGAACACCACCAATAAATCTACTCACAGAAGAAAGACAAATGATACAAAGTAACATCACTAGAGAGGCGGCTCGCGAACATATGTTGGAAAAATGGCTGGAGAACTGGGAGCACGATGAAGGTTCAGCGAGCTGGACGAAAAGACTAATCCCGGACATACGACCATAGGTCAACAGAGAATGGGGTGAGGTTAACTTCTTCTTCACCCAGATCCTGACAGGGTATGGAGGCTTCCAGTCGTACCTAAACCGATTCAAGCTGAGTGACACAGACCAATGCCAATACTGCAGAATGTGCGACACAGCCGAGCATACCTTCTCCGCCTGCTGTAGATGGGATGAGCAGAGGAACAAGGCTGAAAAAGAACTCGGGAGACTGACGCCGGAAAACCTGATAGACAAAATGCTGGAAAACAAAAAGAACTGGAAAACGGTAAACGAAATGGCCATGATAATTATATCCTCAAAGAGAAAAGAAGTAGTAAGAAATGGAGGGGAAATATGGCTGTAAAATGAAAAAAAAGGAAGAGCCCATAACAACAACAGAACGACCATCTTCGAAGTAAAAATCTGACACTGTCTGGTCAATGGGCGACTATTCCTCTTTTTGAAGATTTTCCACTCATAAAAAAAATAGCTTCCCTATGGCTTGAGACGTTTTTTTGTCAGTCAGATGGAATACAATTCTAGATCGGATCTTGCCTTACCATACTGCACAAAGCATTGACAGTCACATAAAGAAGAGAAGGGACCAGGATATGGCTGCATGTGCAACAAAGATAGATATACTTTCACCCAACCATAAACGCTCGTTGCGCCTCTCTCATGCAATAGCTGGTTTTTATATACATTAGATGTTTGAATGCTTGTGCCTCAAATGAAGAGGTTTGAGTGATAAAAATAAAGAATTAAGATAGTTGTACTTGGAAAGATTATGATTCCCACCAATTTAGAAGGAATTACTTTATTACTAGCAAATTTTACAACTCAAATTAAATTTGCGGCTTTTTGCATCCTTTTCATGTATGTAGTAGAATTCGTGTTTTTTCAATTAGTCAGATAGAAATTAGGTATTTTTGAATATACTTGAAAATGTGAAGTGATCATGATTATTACCGTCTAGTTTGGCTCAACATCCACTAGACAATCCAAAATAGTCAGGTTGTACAAAAAATATTTCAACTCACGTTTCAACATTTGATGATTCATCAACTTTAATTTCCTTATCTTTTTTTACCCTGGATTTTGGAGATTTCTTAGCAGGGGTAACAGATGGTTCTTTCTCTTCGGTCACAACATCTTCAGATTTAGCTGTAAATATTAATAAAATTCATATCAATAAACTAGATAGAAAGAATAAACTAACCTTCTTCTGATCTTGTCAATCGTGACGATTTCTTAACTGGAGTAGCTTCAGATTTTGTAGATGCTGTTCTTTCTCTTTTAACACCTTTTTTCTCTTTCACAGAAGTATTCAGGGAAACGGTTGAAGAATTTAATGACACCTAAAATTTTTATTAGCATCAATAATAGCTATTTGATAAACCGAAATTCAGACTCTGCAATTGTACTTGGATGAACTATAACAAATTGTCAACTGGTGGTAGTGGTAAAAAAAGGTAAAGAACAATTCATTGCTAACGTTTGAGCAATTTTACACACTGCGCACACAAGTGCAGGCGGTGTTGAATTTTCATCCATTAGTCCCTCTTTCCTCATCACCTGTTGATATGGACGTTCTAACCCCATCACATTCATGTTTAAATTGATGGTCAGTTGAAGGTAGACTCTATATTATTCCACAATGATTCTAGTATTCAAAATTGTAAATGATAATTCAAATAATATACAATCATATAAACAGAACGGCTTACAGAAGTACCATGAACTGATCATTTTTTAGAGATTTCCACGAATTCAATGAATTATCTGAAGTATTGAAAGAGTAATCTAATTTGGAAAATTTCCAAACAGAACAAAGAATTTGTAAAAAAGAAATAAAAATAAATTGAAGAATTGTAATAGTCATAGAAACTCGAATGCCCCAACACTTGTTCCAATCACTACAGAACTTCCCCCTGTGTCTGATAATTTACTGAATCTCATCAGCTGTGGTTGTAAAAATGGATGTGAACATTGGTGTGAGTGTAGAAAAGCATCAGGTTTGATGTGTTCGGCAATGTGTGAAAATTACATGCTGATGATATGGATTTAATTTGACTGATCAAAGAATTGTATTTTTCTCCTGCCTAATAAATATTTTCAGATCTATTTTATACTCTTTTTTAATATTTGAAGTTTCTTTAGGAAGATACTCAATTGTAAAAAAGAATATGTACAAATTAATTTTTATTTTTCTTAACACCCTGTATATATCATGACCCAAGCGGCGGAAGCTTGGGGAGTTTTGACTAGTTGTTAATTATCAAATACAGCGTCAGTATTCCAAATTTCAGCTAGTTTTGAAGGATTTTATTTATTTGGTCAATTGTAATCTAATAATCCTGAGCTATTAGCGCCAGTTGATTCATCTCTTTCTCTTGTAGACATAGTTGCCAGACTAGCAATTGAATTTTCCGGGAATGAAAGTTTGAGATATGGCAACACTGTTCAATTTAAATTAGTCAACGAAATTTCAACATTACTGGAACCAAACTAGGTATATGAAAAGCGTTTTACTAGTTAGATGCCTGCATCACATTTTATCCTAGCTAATCTTGAAACTAATGTAATACTTTGGGAGTTCAGAGTAAATTGAATGTAATCAGCAGTGAATTGAAAATCAACTAATCACCTACTGCATGGTAATTTCAAATCAATGCATTACTTGCACCATCTTGCACATAGGATCCATTCAAGGATTTTATAGAGATCTTGTGACAGCAGAGTGATTCCCAACCATCAGCACACCAACCAATTAAATTGCAAGAAGACACTTACATCACTACTCAGTAGCATTTGAATTCACAGGAATCAAAATAGCATTTTCAATATTGAACAATTCATTTGTCCTTCGATTTTTTTTTTGATAAATATGTAGTCAGCATAACATTTTCAACTTCCTTTTCCGCAGAGCTGCTTTCAGTTTTCAATTTTTCATTGCATGCAAATTGATTGCTACCGATCATATTTCCGGCAATAATAATAATAATCGGAATGACCAACTTGCAATGTCTAATTGTCAACAAAATTTGGGTTTTACTTTTTATCATGTTACAAGGAACCATGGGAACAGTAACATTGAATAAGCATCTGATGATAGGAAAAAAACTTCAAAGTAGCTCTTATGAATATTTTTCAATCAATAGTTCAAGTTTTTTGCACAATTGCCTTTTTTGTTATGTCATGCTTTTGGATTTTTGAAGAAAATAAGAAGTTGTCTTCTTGTTACATTCTTGTACTTTTTTTCAGGTAAATACCCATTAAATTAGGACTAGTATTACTTACACTGCTCATATCTGATGTGGAATCATTAACATTTGGTGTTTCATCTCCATCTCCTCCATCTTCTGCAATGGCTTCTTCTATTTGATCAAATGCATCAAGGTAATCCTTGCGTTTCAAAGGTCTTTGGAACTTCTGTTTATTCTTTTTGAAATAAAACAAATCTTCTATTTTGATGACACCCCTTGAACATAATAGAAATTATCTAAATATAATAGTCATGTAAAATGTTTTATATATAAACATACAATGTCATCATGACCATTACAAAACTATGAGAGTATTGATTTCTGAGTGAAATATATTTAGTTTGATTAGAGATAATTACATTGATTGTAAAAACATCAAAATTTGCAGCAGGTGTCAATGAGATTGGAGGTAGCATTTTCCACACAGAATCTGATGTAGTTAGCAAAGTGCTTTCATTACTGGCTAATATATCTTTCATTGAAGGAGTATCCAAACAAAATAAAATTATGTAAATCTATACCTGTATATAAACATAAATGATCTAGGATTGACATTATCAATTACAGGAACATATGTATGTATACAGATTCAAATTGCAACTTATTTGAAATGTGATATAATGTGAGAGCTATGAAATTCTTGGAAACTTTTGATATATTTTTCACCTATAAGGTGGGTTGCCATCTTAGCAGTTTTGTCACTAAATCTAGAGTTTTTAGGAAGTGATATTTCAACCTGATTTGCAACGTGTCCAAATCCTAGCGTTTCAACATAGTTATAGTGATTTTATGGAGATATTTTGATCATATGAATTGGTGACAATGGATAATAATAATTTACATTGAAACATTTCAGATAAAGAGATAGGCAGAGAGAAGGATGACAGACAACAGGGTTAGTTTTCATCATTTGCGCCACTTCCGCCACTCTTCTATATTTTGTATATTCCATATGGTTTAAGAACTTGTGTTGCTTGTGAATATTTTATTTTGCCTGAATCAGTACTGAAACTTATAGGAACCAATGTGACTTATAGCAATGCAATCGCAGATCTGTATGATGTTGAACTAGAAATATGAGTTGATACATGGTTTATCAATGTGTGATAAGATCAAAGACAAACCTCAAATACGATCCAGAAATATATTATGTTGTGAAATTGTATAGGAAAATTTACGTTTCTGAACAGATTCTGAATAAATAAAGTTATGAACTAACTGAAAATGACAAAATGTGATGAAAAATGTCCCTAAATCACAAAAAGAAGTTGCTATACTTTGTTGATGAGAAAATAGATTTTTGATTTTTGGGATGAAGAAAAGGTGAAATGGATGGGACAAAATCAGGAGACACCTTAAACTCATTTGATAATATACCTCAAGATGTGACAAAATCAGGTGACCCCATGAATATAATTCATTGGACTTATATACCTCATGTAAGTTTTGATGAAACAAACTCATAGTAAGATATATTTCTCACATCAAAATATTTCTGATTTTTGGGGTGAAGAAAGGGTGGAAATGGTTGCAACAAAATCAGGAGACACCATAAATTCATTTGATGATATACCTTATGGAATTTACTTGATAAAATCTATAACAAGATACCTACAATTTCCCAATCAAAATAGCATTTTTTGGGGGGGAAAGATGCCACCAGATCAGAGGATAAAATGAAATCATTTCATAGGATATATTTTGTATTTCTTGATCAAAAATCCAGAGCAAATAATTATTAGAAATAGTAATTTTTTGTTATATTTTCTCAATGGGGGTGAAGTCACATAGAGGCAACAAAGTCTGTTTACATAATGAATTCATTACTATGACTGCCATAGGTCATTTAGTCAATTAATGATTACATGGTCTGCTTTACATGACCTATCCCTCTGGGTTAACACTGGTCTTGAAAAATATACTAGTTTTGTTAAAAAGAATCTGAGCATATTGGTTCTAGTAAAATGAAGATGATCAACTGTAAACTGTTTGATCAAGAGGCTGATCAGCTGATGGTTCAAATTCAATTCATCTAGAAATACAAAAGATATACTTATGTGGGACTGAAATAAAATATTTTGGGACCAGAAAACTTCTACTAAAATATAAAGGGTCATAGCTTGCAAAGATGTGATATTGTCAAGGAAACTATAGTATATGCTAGGGTTCTAAATAAAGTCCTGTTAGCACATGTGAGGAATCATCGCACAATCTTCTAAAGCTCAACAGAAGTCTGTCGGCAAATTCCTACATTTTATTTAGGGCTAAAGCATTTTCAGTAGGAATACTTTGAACATACTGAAATATATGCAAGTGGCCCATAGAATAATATTTGTAAGAGATTCATTCTTATAGCATAATGAATTTATACTGTTTGGTAGTCTGGGGGTCTCAAGACAAGCACAGGATTATGTGAAATCATCCTATAATACATAGATCAGAGTGTTTCCATCTATGTATAAAATGAAGTATATAAGTACATACGTTTCTCCAGTTCCGTAAAATTCCACGTTATATTTCTTTCCGTTTTCAGCAATGATCTAAAAATGAGTTAAATGAGTATTTATCACTATCACACCACAACTATATCAATGCACATACTTTTGCTGGCCATGGAGGGTATCCTTTTACTTTAGCAAAAACTTTATCACCTACTTTGAAGCTTGGTTTCTTCATTTTTCGCTGTTTTAACAATAACGAATTCGATTCAGAAACTCAAGTTTTTGATAATGCGATAAACCTCCAAAAATTTTCTGCTACACAAGCGACATGCAATGCAAGCGACATACGTAAACAGCAAACAAAACAAGCAAACTTCAACAACCTTGCAAATTTCATGGGATTATGTTATGGAATGGCGGCGATTTGTAGCTAATTTGTAGGCAAGAATTGAAATGACCATGACTTTCGGTACGGACCATCTGCGGCTGACGTCACAACGTTGAAGGTCGAACGCTTGGAGGGTAAACAAACCGTGTGGAAAAATTGTGTTCATGAGTTTATGAAATGATATAATTATTTTTGCTTTCATTTTACTGCTATGGGTGCGTTTTTCGTTCCAATATTTTAGCATGCGCATGAATCGAAGAAACCATCAAACTTGCAAAATTCCGCTGGAATGTTGATGGACATCCATCAAACTGTTGTAATAAAATGCGCACTTTTAAATCGCATTTCGAGAATCCAGCAGTTTGGAGGAGATTGACATGACAGTTGACACATTTTGGTGTTGTTTTTTTGTCTTGATTTGATAGAAAACAATTAATATTGAGGATTTTTGAGATTCTTGAGAGATTTTAGAAGAAAGAGTCAGTGTTAATCAATAAAGTCGAATTAGCCTTTTCTGATTCTCAAGATACATGATGACTGACACACAACAAAATCCGTGTTTCCATCAATGTGTTGTATAAACCATTGTTCAATCCTTCCAGCATAAATTCCAACAGAACAATTGGTGACGTCACGACAAAAAACCGCATCTATCAGTGCGCACTTTCTTCGATGGAATGAAAAACACGCCCATGATGTTTCGTTACTAAAAAATCTATTTCTGTGTTCAGCGTCAGCGGATAATTATGTTCTGCTCTATGGGTCTATGTTCTATATTTATGTCATCAGCTCTGTGTGACTTCTGCCTCATTCCTGTCAAAACTCCATAACCAAGGTCTGTCTGACAAGAACGGACAAGAACGACACTCAGAATGTCAATTGTCAGATTTTTCGAGTCCATTACCTTTTGATACAGATCTGTTACCTTTTTCCAAGGAAATCTATTACGAAAAAATCAGACCCAGGAACAAAACTGGAAATGACTAATAAAAAGTAAGGTTGGCGCTGTTGGCGGAGTTGGCGGATCTGGAAGTGTTTTCGTGTTTTCGTTTCCAGGTTTTCTCTGCAATCAGTGCAATCTGCTCTATGCTTTTTCTTATCAGCATTATCAGCAATATCAGCATTTCCATTTCCAGCAATATCAGCATTTCCATTTTCCAGGGCAGACTATTATATATGTGTGTGTGTACTGCAAGGCAAGGAGTTTACTGTAGTGTGTAGTCACTGACCACTGTAGTTCAGATTTCCAGTTTCCAGTGCCAGGGACCAGGGTCAATCACTCAGTTGAGAACAAGAAGTGTTGTCTTATATAGGTACCTGGTAGTTGGGGCCAGACTTGCCCAAGATGTCCACAGTATTGTTAGCTGTAGTAGCTGTAATCTTGTGTGTACTCTTCAGAATACTCAACGTTAACAGTCAACCACAAAAGCCTACGATAGTGTGTTCTGATAATAAGTTTCTGGATAACATGTTGAAAATCGCCCCCGTCCTCAATGAACAGTAAGTATGTGTGTTTGGTTGTTTTGTTGTAATTCATCATTGCTCATCACTTTGATCTCCCTATTAACCAAGAACCCCAAAAATAACCAAGATGTATCTTTTAGAAGCCTTCAAAAGGTCTGGACAATCTACAGTTTATATAACTGAATTACAAACCCCTGTGGCATTGAGGCTGATGATGTCTTGAATCACCAACCCTAATGCATTGTACAGATCAGGAAATTTGCTAAACCATACATACCCTGGAATTTTCCAGGAAAAGTCTTATGCAAGGTGTTTCACAGTGGATAGAACATAAGCAGCATTGCTGGTATCTGATTGTTGTAATACCCCCAAAATCAACCAAAAATGCTCACACATTGGTCACACCACAGAAATCATTCTAGTTATGCTTTTGCCACAGCCGAGGCCACAGCTAACACCACTTTTTGCTTTGATCACCAAGGATCTAGAATGCTCTATGTAATATCCCTGAAACTGCTTCTGCTCAATGTGCAGTACTCTAAACCAGAGCAATTCATGACATCCAGCATCCAATCATGTATGTTGGTGTTTGAAAATATAAGTTATCAATAAGATGTATGACAGGTCCTGAATGCACATAATTCATGTTCTCCAGTTTGATCTATGGCATTAGTGGTCCAGATAGTAGTTTATGTCAGTGGGTGCATGCCACAAACAACATGATTTGTGGCATTATCTCAGTGTCATATATCACAGGTCACATGGTCACTCTAGGTCACCACAGAACAAGTCTACAGAATCATTTCGCAGAATATTAGATTGAGAAATATATTTAATTGATTAGAAGCAACTTCAAATTATCAGGCATCAGTCATTATTCTCTTGAATTTTCAATATTTGGAGTGGGTGATTGAAATGCTCACAAAATGCTCACTTGAGGTCAATGCTCACAGTTTTATCCCACACATTCTCAAATCCTCACCTATTTGAGAAAATGATCACACATCAGCAACTCTGAATATAAAACATATCTGGAAAACCAAAGGACAGATCATTTCACAAATTCGTGGGTGTGGATCGAGGTTTGGATAATCAAATCAAGCATGCTCTATTCCTCTAAAATATTTTCCACAATGCCCTGTTGCCACTTCTATTTGAAAGTTGTAGCAACTTTCTTATTTTGAATAGAACACCCTGTATTTCTTTGCATTTTTTAGGTTCTCCCTAAAGAGCTGATTTAATCAATGCATCACACTTGGAGTCTAGCAGGAATGATTACAGAGGTATTGGGTGTTCAAAATCCAGATTTTTCAACTAGGATTTTTCAGTGTTGAAACTTTATTATTAGTTAAAATGGCTCACATGTCCCTATCTCAACTATTGATTCACTATCTACTGTCATTTAATTATAAGACAGCAGCATAAAAGCTGTTTTCACTAGTAATGAATAGTTTCCACACAAAAAACCTAAAGTTGAAAGGAGAGTGGAAAAATCTTTATTTTGAATACCCTGTATCAGTAACCATTCTCACTAGACCCCGATTGTGATACATTGATGAAATCAGCTCTTCATGGAAAATCTGAAAAAGCAATGAAATAACAAAGTAGCTACTACTTTCTAATGGAAGTGGTAACACTGCATGTCAAAAATATTGTAGATAGGTAGAGCACTGTCACAGCTGTCTTCAACTATCACAGCTGTGGCACTGTAGATAGAGCATGCTTGATTATTCAGGCCTAAAAATTTTTGGAAATGATCTGTCAAAGCAATGGCCTCAAACACATATTCTCAATATTCCTTTTGCCTAAAATGTTATTTTTCTTGTTATTGAAAAGATTTTTGATCAATAAAAATGATTCTAGATTTTAAAACTGGGAAATAGTTATTTACATGTTATTTATGAATCAAGGGTGTAAAATATGCTTTTATGGATCATAGCCTGTAAGTAATGGCCCAGCAATAGCAAGGAATAATTACATGCATAAAGCAAGTTAACCACTGAAATACATACTACATTTTATGCACGACCAGTATATTTGATTTTTCATTGTGAATACCACTTAACCTCTCAAGCACAATAGAAAAACATATGGTTGTAGTAAGGAGTATCATTAATGGAATCAAGATTACCATGGTAACTCAGTCAATTTTCAAAATAGGGGTAGAATATGATATGCTGTCCATTTATGTAATCACAGATAACTTATTTTGGGTTTGATCATTTCATTTTACATCTCAGAAATATCAAGGGAACTGTGATATTAGATAAGGAAGCATCACAACTAAAACATAGATGTCATGAATTATGCAGGAATGGTTTTTACAAGTTACCTTTACGGCGGGTGATAAAGTAGTCCACGGGCGCTAAAGTGCCACTTTACACTCGCAAAACCGGGCGGTGAAGTGCTACTTTACGCCCGGTCATGCATAAAGAAATTTATGTAAGTTTACTCCTGCATATTATCAGGAACTTCTTAGGAAACTTGTTTCTCCTTCTAATATAGTTCCCAAAGCATATGATTTCTAATGTCCATTGAATTCTTCAAAGCAGGACATGCTTCTTCAAGAAGCCACTTTGTAAGCAAAACATGCCCAAGTTGAGAATTTTGTGAAATCTCATCTTTTGTGAACATTTTCACATTTCCTAGGGAATTTCCATCAGGTCCTGAGTCAATTCCAAAATCAAGGGACTCATCAGATTTATATTCTCAGGTTTGAAGCAAATTTCTTGAAGAGAGTTGATATATTTTCCTGAAGCTTCTGTACCTTGGTCACGGAATATAAAAGATTATTGGGTGGGTTGTGAAGCACATTGTTTGGATGACCAAGATGTGATTATTTCATTCATTCATTCATTTATTGATCAGTTGATTTGGTAATTTTCAGTATCTACTTGTTTCAGGTATTTAAGTAATTGGGTATTTAATAAGTTATTAACTTGGGTATTCAGTACTGCAAATAGGTGAAATAATTGTGCTATGAATGATATGTAATGATATACTGTCTGAAACAAGAGGCTTTATTCCAGGCTTTATTTTACTGAAAACTAGATTGACAATTATCATATCATCCGAGATACATTGACATCATAATATCATTATCAATGATCATAATAATGATATAATAATCTTCAAACACAAGTGACAAACATATAAATTGTATATAATCAAGTTGCATATAATAGATGATTATAAAGAGTGCAGATTACACCACATTCTCCATTATTCAATTTTGAGTTTTATTCTCTAGTGGGTCTAGCTTCTTTGTTACCATTCTCTGGTTTGACCTAGGGTTGGATGCATATTTCATTCTTCATTTTTTTAAATAGATTCTAAATAATTATCAATGGATTCAGAAGGAATTTCATTTTCCACATGTGTAAGAAGTCCAAAATTCGAAGTAGAAGCAAGATCACAGTTCTCATATTTAGTAGCCGCGACCATTTCATGTTGAGAAGCCGTGATTAACGTCTCAGACTCAGGGTAATCATCTCCGTTATAATCTTTTAAAAATAACATCACATTACCTCTTGGGGCCAGGTGCTTGAGAGAAATATTTGTTTCTGGACCACTGCTGAATCAAACTAGGACATAATCAGATTTAACTTTGATGGGATATGCCGAGGGTAATCCACTCTCGTAAAAATGTACACGAATTGGACAGATTGGACGGATATTATCGGATATTATCAAATATTATGAAAACATCATTGGACATTTGCATTGCAAGAATAGGAATATTGGCCTAAGATTGGACCTCGGGTTGGACGGATTACATCAGTATTGGACACCAAGTGGTTGACCCCTCAAGATATGCTTCTCCTGCCATTGGGCTATATTTCGATATTCTTACATGCATTTCACTAGGACTGTTCCATGGTCCATAAGCCAGCGAGGAACATAATTTCCAGAAGATTTTCTTGCATGGTAAAACATTTTTTCATGGGAATGCACTTATAGTAGCAGTACAAATAGACCGGGAGATAGTGTCAGACGGACTCTACTCCTTTTCCTCATTTTTTACAAGTATGGCACCCTGTCAAAAGTCGAATCACATAATTAAAGATCAGAAAATGATAGTCATAGGGCTGGACGTCGGTGCTTGATAGCAGGGCGATTAATTTAACTTGTAGAAAAAATTTCGGATTTTTTACATAAAAATTCTTGTGTTATTTTTAAGTTGACATTTACGAATATCGTCACGTCATACCATTTTGAGGGATCTTTATAAGTCGCCATACTGCCGTAAAGAAGCAGATTCTTTCAAAAATGAATGAATATGAATAGAGCTTTATTTAGCATCGATAGCTATCACATAACCATACATGAATATTACACATTCGATATATATCACACATAAACAATATAATCTATTCATTGAAATACATTTTTCTCAATCTTGTTTTGAAAATTCTTACATTTCCTGATGTCTTAACTAGAAGAGGTAGATCATTATACATTCTCAAACCTTCAATGAAGAGAGTTTTTTCCGAAGCATTTGTGTTGAAACCTTGTATGTAGAACTGATCATTGAACCTGGAATTATAATGTATCAGATCTGCCCTTTTGATTATGTATTTCTGCAAGTAGGAAGGAGCTTGCTTATTGACAATTTTAAAAACTAATACCAAAGACGACTCTACAATCAGCTGGGAAATATTAAGAAATTTCAAGGTCTTTAGCATATCATTTACTGGAGTAGCTGCAATCGATGTATTTGTGTAGACTGTAGAAGAACAGGAAAGGAGTATGGACATACATTAATTAAAATGTGGAAATAGTGTTATAAACAATTTTTCCACACCTCGGGGAAAGGCTTGTAGATTCTATAAAAGTGTCCGACTTTTTTTACTATTTTTTTACACATAAAATCGATATGCGCAGAAAAGTTAAGTTGAGAGTCAAAAAGAATGCGGAGATACTTTATCTCATTAACATACATTATTACCGAATTATCAATTGTTAGCATAATGCTAAACGATTTTGCACAGCCTGAAATTTTTTGCCAGATATTTTATTAACTAGAAACAAATCCG